TTGCTGTTCTCTACTAAACACAGAGCAGTAACTTTCATGAACAGAAACATCACTCCTTTAAGAAAGATGTCCCAGAAAAAAAAAAAAAAAATGCTAGTGTTGCTGATGAGAAGAAAAAATAAATGTACAATTTATTACAATAAATAAATAAATGGAGCTTTTCTTTTAAGTACAGTCAATTTGGTTGCAGGATCCCACTAAGCTGCAACAGACTTGCACCTGAATCTTGAGGGCAGTCCCTCAATATACAGGGGTGGGGATGGAAGGTGGGCTGTAAATGAAAACTAACCTAAAAACCCCTGGAGAGCCAATGATAAAACTAACTAAAAAAATTTTTTTAATTCAGTAAAGTAGCAGAATAAAAGATGAATATACAGAAATCAAAAGCCTTCATACATACAAACATAAACCAGTTATAAGATACAATGGTTCAGAAAATCCCATTTTCAACAGTAATGAAGAAGGTTAAATACTTAGAATAAATTTCAAGCTGGGGCCAGGCATGGTGGCTCATGCCTGTAATCCCAACACTTTGGGAGGCTGAAACGGGCAGATCACCTAAGGTCAGGAGTTCAAGACCAGCCTGGCCAACATGGCCAAACCTTGTCTCTACTAAAAACGCAAAAATTAGCTGGATGTGGTGGCACGTGCCTATAGTCCCAGCTACACAGGAGGCTGAGGCACAACAATTGCTTGAACCCAGGAGGCAGAGGTTGCAGTGAGCCAAGATTGCACCATTGCACTCCAGCCTGGGTGACAGAGCAAGACTCCGCCTCAAAAAAATATATATACATACATACATACATTTCAAGCTGGGTGCAGTGGTTCACACCTGTAATCCCAGCACTCTGGGTGGCTGAGGCGGGCAGCTCTCTTGAGCCCAGGAGTTCGAGACCAGCCTGGGCAACATGGCAAAACCTCATCTCCACTAAAAATACAAAATTTAGCCGAGCATGGTGGCAGGCGCCTCTAGTTCCAGCTACTTGGGAGGCTGAGGCAGGAGAATAGCTTGAACCCAGGAGGCAGAGGCTGCAGAGAGCCAAGATCACACCACTGCACTCCAGTCAGGGTGACAGAGCAAGACCCTGTCTCAAAATAAATACATAAACATGATTTGTTTTTTAAAAAAATTAAAAAGAAACAGGCAAAAACTCTTGTTCAAAAAGGTTGGCTAAAATAACAAAAATATTTTGAGAAGAAATAAGAAAAACCTACATGTGGAAAACTGTAAACACTCCTGAAAGACACAAGTAGACCTGACAAATACATAGACACTCTGTGGTCTTGGGTAGCAAGACTGAACATCATAGAGATGTCACTTCTCCCTAAATTATGAATATAATGTAATCCCAACAAAAATAGCAAAAAGCTTTTTTAGGGAACTAGATAAAGCTGATACTCAGTTCATGTGGAAGAACATGTAAGGACAGCCAAATAAAAATTAGAAGGAGAATCTGATCTAGCAGATATTGGAACATAATTACATAATTAAAAGAACACGGTACAGGCATAAAAGTAAATAATCCTTGCTCATCAAAGCAAGTTAAAAGAAAAAAAAGTTGGCTGGGGATGGTGGCTCACGCCTATGATCCCAACACTTTGGGAGGCCAAGACAGGAGGACTGCTTGAGGCCAAGAGTTCAAGACCAGCCTGGGCAACATTGTGAGACCTTGTCTTTATTAAAAATTTCCTTAAAACTAGCCAGACGTGGTGGCACACACCTGTAGATCTAGCTACTCTGGAGGCTGAGGCAGGAGGAATGCTTCAGCCCAGGAGTTCAAGGCTGCAGGGAGCTACGATTGCACCACTGCACTCCAGCCTGGGTGACAGAGTGAGAAACTACCTCAAAAATAAATAAATAAATAAATAGTAAACGGTCCAGTGAAATAATATAGAAATATATTCAAGTACTCATGGAACTTTAGTATATTATACACACAGAATCTCAAAAGGCTGTTACAAGCCAGGTGTAGTGGCACACACCTATCCGAGCTAGTTGGCAGGCTGACATGGAAAAATTGCTTGAGCCCAGGAGTTCCAGACCAGCCTCAGACCTCATCTCTTAAAAAAAAAAAAAAAAAAAGGAACACTACCCCCCCCCCAAAAACAAACAAATAAACAAAAAACTCACTAAGGCAAAGGCAGACTTTTAAATAAATCGTACAGATACAACTATTTATGAAAAAAATAACACCAACCTATATACCTCATACTATACCCAGGAATAAACTCGAATCGGAGATCTAAATTTAGAAAATAAAACCAGACAAATCTACAAAAAAACATAGGTGAACTCCTCTTTAACATAGATGTATATAGAGGCTTCCTAACTGTGCCTTAAAATCCCAGATGCAATAAAAGATAGATCAATTTGACTACATCAAAACAAAATAAGAACTTTTGCATGGCAAAATAACATCATGAACAAAGTCAAAGGATAACTGATAGGGAGAAAATATTAAATATTTGCAACATATAATCAGAAAAATTGATATTCCTATTATATCAATGGATATTAAAACTAATGGATGAACCTTAGAAAATTAAAAGGGTATTTATAGTCTCAAAGCATCACCTCACAAAATTCTTATTACAAAGAGAAAAACAGCCATATTTTAAAATAGCAATTTTTGTTGTTGTTTTTAAGACAGAGGGAGTCTCACTCTGTCACCCAGGCTGGAGGGCAGTGGTGCGATCTTTGCTCACTGCAACTTCTACCTCCCGGGTTCAAGAGATTCTCCAGCCTTAGTGAGTAGCTGGGAATACAGGCGCCTGCCACCACGCCCGGCTAATTTTTTGTATTTTTAGTAGAGATGGGGTTTCACCATGTTGGCCAGGCTGGTCTCGAATTCCTGACCTCAAGTGATCCACCCACCTGGGCTTCCCAAAGTGCTGGGATTACAGGCATGAGCCACTGCGCCCGGCCTAAAAATAGTAATTCTTTATGAAAAATGCAGCATACACCACTTTATAAAAAAATTCAAAGTTAACATCACCAGTAATGGGACAAATCAACATCATGTGCCTCCCGATGTGACTCCCTGAAAAAACACAACTTCTGTAAAGTTCTGCCAAAAATTAGTCACCCAAATCAAATCACAAGGAAACATGAGACAAACCTAAATTGAAGGATGCTCTATAAAATAACTGTCCTACATGCTTAAAAAATGTCAGTCATGAAATACAAAAACAGACTAAGGAACTGTTCCAGATTCTAAAGGAGTATAAGGCATGTGAGAATTGAATACAACACACATCCAGGATTTTCTCCTGCTATCATGGGGAAATGGCTACATCTGAATAAGATCTATATGTTAGCTAATATTATAGTATTATGTCAATGCTAATTTCCTGATTTCTGATAACTGCACTGAGGTTATATAAAATTATATCCTTGTTTTTATGAAAAAGACACTGAATTATTCAAGGTAAAAGAGTATTATATCTGTAACTTACTCAAATGATTCAGGAAAAATATATATTTATATAACATATAAAGTCATATACAGATAGAGAAAAGAATAGAGTAAACATAGAATGTTAACATTTTGGGAATCTGATTGAAGATTTATGGCAATTATTTGTATTATTCATGTAACTTTTCTGTAAATCTGAAATTAAGGTCAAACCGTAAAAAAAAAAAAAAAAAAAAAAAAAAAAAATTATAAAAAAAATTGAGGAGGGTTAAAAGTGTTAGAAACAAACAAAAAAAACCACAGCAGACATCAAGCATATTGCCAAAGTAAAGCAAGAACTTCCTGAAAGAGGAATCCAAAGTGGTATAGCTATATATAATTTCCAGTTGTTTGCCTTTCCAAATCCTTTATTTTTTAATATATGTAAGCATATGCGTGTGTTGTGTGTATGTATATGTGTGTATGTATGTGTGTGTGTGTGTGTGTGTGTGTATGTAAAACCACATTTCCTTTATCTTTTTCTCTTTATCTCTCTCATATATAAATAGAATTCTGCTGAGTAGAAATAAGTGTAACCGGCCAGGCGTGGTGGCTCATGCCTGTAATCCCAGCACTTTGGGAGGCCCAGGTGGGCAGATCATCTGAGGTTGGGAGTTCGAGACCAGCCTGATCAACATGGAAAAACCCCATCTCTACTAAAAATACAAAATTAGGGGCCGGGCGCGGTGGCTCAAGCCTGTAATCCCAGCACTTTGGGAGGCCGAAACGGGTGGATCACAAGGTCAGGAGATCGAGACCATCCTGGCTAACACAGTGAAACCCAGTCTCTACTAAAAAATACAAAAAACTAGCTGGGCGAGGTGGCGGGCGCCTGTAGTCCCAGCTACTCGGGAGGCTGAGGCAGGAGAATAGCGTGAACCCGGGAGGCGGAGCTTGCAGTGAGCTGAGATCCAGCCACTGCACTCCAGCCTGGGCCACAGAGCGAGACCCCGTCTCAAAAAAAAAAAAAAAAAAAAAAAATACAAAATTAGCCAGGGGTGGCAGCGCATGCCTGTAATCCCAGCTACTCAGGAAGACTAAGGCAGGAGAATCACTCGAACCTGGGAAGCAGAGGTTACGGTGAGCTGAGACTCCAGCCTGGGCAACAAGAGCGAAACTCAGTCTCAAAAAAAAAAAAAGAAATAAGTAAGTGTAACCTTTTTTTAGTTCCTAACACCGAGAAACCCTCCAATACCTTTGGCAGTCCCTGCATCCAAGGCTACAGAACCCATATCTTTTCGAAGGCGTTCCAGTTGTTCTCTCTGCTGTTGGCTCTCCGCACTGGCCTGTATGTATAGAGAAAAATGTCATCATATTCAAAAAGGAGTCCCAAATTAGATGCCAGACTTCCCAGTGGAGATGAAGCATTATCCAAATACTAGAGGCTACATAAAAACTGATGCAGATAAGGGACATCCAGTATAGGGACAGAAACACTAAGTAGCGTGGGCCTGGGTTACAGCAGAAGTTCAGACTAGAGAGCTCTGCAGACTGATTTAAAAGATTCAGAAACTGAACACAAAAAGATTTCAAAAGAACCCTCAATTCCAAAGTGTTGAGTTCAGTCCAGGGTGGATCTCCTGCTCTGTTAATTAAACTGGAACATTTCAACTGGTTAAGCAAAATGCCTAGTTAGAAAGCATTACTCTTTTTATTCATCCCCAGCCTACAAAATGAAAAAACAAAAGATATAATAAAATTTATCATATGGGAAAAAAACACAAAAACCTGAAGTAGACATAGCAGGAAGGCTCAAAGACAAGGGATCCAATGAGCCTATGGAAGCAGGACACTCGATCATTTGGGATAAGAGAAGGCTGGGCATGGTGGCTCAGCCTGTAATCCTAGTACTACAGGAGGCCCAGCAGGGAGGATCACAGGAGCTCAGGAATTTGAGACCAGCCTGGAAAACATAGTGAGACCTTGTCTGTACAAAAATTTACAAAATAAAATTAGCCAGGCATGTGGTACATACATGTTGTCCTAGCTACTCGGGTGGCTGAGATGGGAGGATCGCTTAAGCCTTTCAAAAGGTTGAGGCTGCAGTGAGCCGTGATCATGCCACTGCACTCTGGCCTGGGTGACAGAGTGACACCCTTTCTCAACAATGAAAAAAGGAGTTGTGAATCACCACTATACTCTATACAAAATTCTACAACTAGTTTTAAATTGACCTCTGAAAGGGAAGAAACATTAAGGAGCCTTTCTGCACCCAGACAACATACATACAAATGTACAAATTTAAATTAACAAGTATTTAGAAGATACACTGAAATTTCATTAGTCAATTGTACCTCAATAAAGCTACAAAAAACTTTTTTAATTAAATAAAAGATACATTAATAACCAAAACAAAAGCACTTATGTCATCAGGATTGAGCTGGGTTTTTTTAATGGCCCTTCTAAAATATACAAACACCTCCCTTCTTACCAGTGATTTTTTCAGACGTTCATATTCAGGACGATACTCCCTGTAAAGAGAAATACTTTCTAAATTCCTTTGCTTAATCATCTATCCTACTCACTCTCCACATCCCTTATGTCCTCTGTTTTCCTAAGACTCTGACAATAATAAAATATCTGACTTCATTCAACATCAGATGTAACAAATCTTACTGATAGAGTCTACCCAATGGAATTAAAAGCCAAGGTGCCCGCTCCCACCTTGGAACCAGGAGACACAATTCTGACTGCTGGGCTAGAAAGATTAATACTGGTGAGAACATGACTGATGAACTCATCATTCGAGATAAAAGGCTGAGATAAGTAAAAGATAAGCCTGTTGAGCTCAGGATATGCAACATACAATTATGTGCTTTACTTGAACACCAACAGTGAAAGGATACAGAGAAGAGTCTATCCTAAGGTTTTGATAACACCCCTGTGTCTAATGAATCAAAATCAAAATAACGTGTCTGAAAACCAAAACATGGTTGTTAGGATCTTGCAAAATATGAAGCCAAAGACACACGCTAATAAGCCGGCTATCGTGCCACAGGCCTAAGGAAAGTACACAGGACTCTGACTCCACTTTCCTTTAGTTAAATGGAATTCCAGTATTAACAATGACAACAGTTATAACATTTATTATAAAATATGCTTACTATATGTCAGCAATTGTGATAAGTGCTGTATACATGTTTTCTCAGTCTTCACAACAACCTTAGTGCCAAATCCAGCCTACTGCCTGTTTTCATAAATGATGTTTTACTGTAACCCACGCCCATTCATTTACGAATTGTCTAAGGACGCTTTTGTCCTACAATGGCAGACTTCAGCAGTTGCAACAGAGACTGTATGGTCCACAAAGCCTGAGATATCTATTATTTAGCTCTTTACAGAAAAGTCTGATGATCCCTGCTCTTAATCACTCAATACAATGAAGATTTATACTTCCATTAAAAAAAAAAGTTAAAGGGAACTTGTTACCCCTAAGTGTGATCTGATTCAATACAGATATCAAGGCAAATATAATACATCCATCATGAAAACTTAATGCTTCTCCTGGAAAAACTGCTTTCATATCAGAATTGTAGGTTATTAAGAATGTCATCAATAGAATTTTCCTCTATCCTCACCTTTCATATTCTTCGGCAGCACTGGTAACTTGCACAAAGAGTTCATCTAATCCAGTACCCAGAACAGCAGAGACACCCACCACCTGCCAAAAAGCATCATAAATGCCACATATTTTTTAATGAAGTATATTAACTTGTTCAGATGTCATAAAATCTTAATAAGAGAGGTTTATACTTTGAGAAGTCTTTGGCAAAAAGGCAGGCTAAAAAAGAACAGCACACCTAGTCAAAAGTCACAGAAGTCAGTCCATGGAAAATAAAAAAATTGAAAAAGAAAGATATGGCCTGAGTGCAGTGGCCCATGCCTATACTCCCAGTACTTTGGGAGACTGAGGCAGGACGTACACTTGAGGCCAAGCATTCAAGACCAGCCTGGGGAACATAGCGAGATCCCAGTCTCTACAAAATGTAAAAAATTAGCTGGGTATGGTATACCGCACATGCCTATAGTCTTAGCTGCTTGGTAGCTGAGGCAGGAGGATCCCTTGAGACCAGGAGGTCAAGGCTGCAGTGAGCTGTGATCCTGTCACTACACTCTGGCCTGGGTAAAACAAAGCAAGATCCTCTCTCCAAAAGGAAAAAAGAAAAAAAAAAAAAAAAAGATATAATTAGGACTGAACAGTTAACAGGACTTATTATCTATTCCCTAACAAACCAAACCAAATCACTTTCTGCTTTGTCTATGCCTTTGCTTGGGCAATTAACCCACTCTGCCTTTGCCTACATAAATCTTACCCTTCTTCAAAGCATACCTCTAATGCTATATATCCTCCAAAATCTGTTATTTCGATCTGCCGCCTCACCATCATCAGGCCCAACTTCCAATCTTTCTTAAGGTACTTACTATAATATATCATATGTTTTAATTCTGTGTGTAGCCTTCTCTCCCAAATAGACTATAAACTCTGAAGTTGGGGTCTCTATCTTATTCTTCTTGTAGGCTCCACAATTTTTAATAAGTAATGCTTTAAAAGTTACTTTTCAGTAGGTAATAAGCTTCCTTTCTCAGCCAGGTTCAAAGCCAGTCCTATGGGTTAACAGATTATCTGGAGAGGCTGTCAGTGTGAGCAGGAGAGAAAATTTACCCTGAGTGAGCTGTAAAACTCATCTAACACCAGGCTCATTGAACGAGTCAGGTTACTGACATATGTAGTCTCTTGATTTAAGGCATCTTGGAAAGCCTCAAAATCCTGCATCCATTCCACTGCAAAGCTGTGGTCAATGATGTCAGTCTGTACCAGAGAGAAGTCAATTATGAGCAACCAGAGACAACAAACACAAAATTTATTCTTTTAATTAAGTAGTGACAGCAAAGAGCATATCATCCATATATTTTCTTTCTCTGCTTCTATTTCCCCCTCCACTGCAACAAGCCACAAAGAACCACGATCATTGTGTAATCAGTATAATTAAATGAAGATATGTATTCTCTTGGTTCACCCTCTACCATCCACTGCCAAGTAACCAGGGCCAGAATGGACACCAGCACATTCTAGGCTCTGAAGTCAAAATGTCTCTTGCATCCTAGCCATCAACCAACAGAGAAGTTTAGTGTTTTTTAATTTGCCACTTCAAATAAACTAGCTGTCCCTCTCGTAATTACACAGTCTGGACTCTGAAGGATAATCTACACACTATGGTTGAAGTGCTACTCTACCTAGCCTAAAATAATTTTAGACAAGAGTTGGTAATAACTGCTCATTCAATTTGGTTGATTCATTTTCTCGAAGTGCCTATGAATTTGTTTCAGTAAGGCCTGAATCTGGTCTCCAGCATCTGAAAAAATCTTTCTCACCCACCCAAACCTTCCAACCACAAGGTTCTGATGAAAAATGGTGAATCACAACAGGAAGAATACACTTACTTTATTCATGACCACAATGAAAGGCAGCTTGGTTTTGTACAAGATGCTGAAAAACCAAACATTGAGAAGTTATTAGTAGAAGCACATAAGCTCTTGCTTGTCCAGTGTCAGTATGTCGGGACTAAGTAAGAGAAGGGGAATGAGTTCAGAATCTAAAAAGTAGTCATCCATTTTTACATAACACTCATATAGTCTCTCCCAACAGGAAAACCACCACCACCCAGAAACAACACACACACTCTCACTCTCGTTTGAAGTAATAATGCCTTAATATTGAACTTGTTTTTGTTTTGCTTTTTACCAAACTGGCATTTTTCAGAGAAGGAAATGAACATTTATTGAAAACGTATTACAGGTTGAGAATTTCTTATCTGAAATACTTGGGACCAGAAGTGTTTTCGATTTCAGATTTTGGAATATTTGTAAATACTTATTGGTTGAGCATCCCAAATCCAAAAATCCAAAATCCTCCAGTAACCATTTCCTCTGAGTGTCATGTCAGTGTTCAAAAAGTCTCAGATTTTGGAGCATTTCAGATTTCAAATTTTTGGATATGGGATGCTCAATCTGTATAGTCTAGGCACTGTGCTAATAAACACCTTTATATGTATTATCTCCTTTATTCTTTACAAATAACATGTAAATATATACAATTTTAATTTGTCAATTATACCTCAATAAGGTGGGAAAAGAACATTAAAACTTTTTTCAATCTGTAAAGTAACATTTAAAAATGTTTCTACCCCCACCTTTATTGAGGTATGGTTGACAAATAAAAATTATATGTATATTTAAGGTGTACAAAGGGATATTTTGATACACAGTTGACCCCTAAACAATATAGGTTTGAACTGTGAGGTTTACTTTTCTTCCACCTCTGCCACCCCGAGACAGCAAAACCAACTCCTACTCTTAGACTACTCAAAGTGAAGATGATTAGGATGAAGAGTTTGATGATCCACTTCACTTAATGAATAGTTAATACATCTTCCCCTTATTTTCTCTAGCTTATTATATGAATACAGCATATAATACATATAATATATATAATGTGTGTTAATCTACTGTTTACGTTACCAGCAAGGTTTCCAAACAGCAGCAGACCTTTAGTAATGAAGTTTGGGGGGAGTCAAAGTTATAGTCAGGTCTTCCACTCCGCAGGGGTTGGCTCCTCTAACCCCCAAATTGTTCAAGGGTCAACTGTATGTTTACATCATGAAATGATTACCAGC